GAGAAAATGCATTTCATTTCTCCTTATTTTCCTTCAATACATCATTTGGTTCTGCTTTTTGCCTGCATGAAATTCATTTTCTAATGGAAATATTTGTTTTGTAAATCAAATATGTATTATGCACAAAATGCAAAGCACAAATTAAATTATGTTAATGAAATGAAAGAGATATGAAATGCATATTTCATGGACAAAACATAACCTCCGCAAACAACCATTTCTTGATAAAATCTTTAAACACAATCTCATTCTGTGACAGACATATTGTTAAAGCAGATAGCACCTCATTTAAATGGTTTCCTTTAATATTAGTGCTTAGTATATAATTGTAAATAACTTTTGGGATGAAAAACCAATAATGAAATACTGTCTTTAATAGTTTGCTATTGATGTCAGCATAAAATTTGTAGTAGTTGAATATTGGAAATTGGGAGAGTGAACACAATATAGTCAAAAGCTGTAAATGATTGCATATTTAAATAGAGCTGACTAAGGCAAAGATGTTATAGATATTAGTAATAGGCAGAAAATTATGCTGACCTAACATTATTTGACAAAAAAACCACTGTTTTAAATTATATATTGGTTACACTTAATGAATAATAGATTTTGTAGGTGTTGTTTCTCTGATCATATAATGCTGATGATGCCATATGCTGGATATTTCTGAATCATCCATCTGACAATAAAACAAGTGGACATCACAAAGGGTACCAGAGTATAATATGTGCACATCTTTGTACAAATCAATGGTGAAGCCACATCTTGAATGCTGGTCTGTATGGCTCCTAAAACCCCATATGAAATTTATTTATTTATTTTATTTAAAATATTTTTATCCCTCCTTTCTCCTTAAAAAGAATCCAGGTGGCTTACATCATTAAAAAGACAATATTTAAAAGCTAAAAACGGTAAGTATACAAATATTAATAAAAGAATTAAACAAGTACTACATTAAAAACAGCAATAAAATCAGTACTAAAACAAATTTAAAACAGAGCACAACAATCCATTCAAAAACTCATCTCAGATCAGCAGTTATTAAAGGAAAGCCTGCCTGAAGAGAACGATCTTTGCCTGCTTGCGGAAGGACGGCAACAATGGGGCCAGTCTGGCCTCCAGTGGGAGAGAGTTCCAGAGTCTGTGAGCAGTGATACAGAAGACCCTCTCCCATGTTCCCACCAAGTGCACCTGTGAGGGTAGTGGGACCAAGAGAAAGGGCTTCCCTGATGATCTTAAAGCCCAGGCTGGCTCACAGAGAGAGATGTCGTCTTTTAGATAGTTTTTATTTTAGACAGCTTGGACCCAAGCCATTTATGGCTTTACAGGTTAAGACCAGCACTTTGAATTGTGCCTGGAAACGGATCGGCAGCCAGTGGAGCTGCTGTTTACAGGGGACTCACATGACCTCTGCAACCAACCCCAGTCAACAATTTGGCTGCTGCATTTTGGGCCCTCTGGAGTTCCCAAATAGTTTCCAAAGGCAGCTTTTAGACAGCTTGGACCCAAGCCATTTATGGCTTTACAGGTTAAGACCAGCACTTTGAATTGTGCCTGGAAACGGATCGGCAGCCAGTGGAGCTGCTGTTTACAGGGGACTCACATGACCTCTGCAACCAACCCCAGTCAACAATTTGGCTGCTGCATTTTGGGCCCTCTGGAGTTCCCAAATAGTTTCCAAAGGCAGCCCTATTTAGAGCACATTACAGTAATGCAGTCAAGATGCAACTAGGGCATGTGTCAGCATGGCTGGATCAGACCTTTCAAGAAACAGGCAGAGCTGGCACACTACTTTTAACTGCAAAGGCACTCCTGGCCATCGCTGAAACCTGGGCATACAGGCTGAGAGATTAATCCAGGATTACCCCCAAGCTGTGTGCCTGCGTTTTCAGAGGGAGTGTAACCCCATCCACCACAGGCTGCAATCCTATTCCTTGATCTGGTTTTCATCTGACCTGGGGCACCTCTGTCTTGTTTGGATTAAGTTTCAGTTTATTCACCCTCATCCAGTCCAGTGCTGTCACCAGACACTGATTTAGAACTGAAAAAGTTTCCTTGGATTTAGATGGAAAGGAAAGATAGAGTTGGGTGTTATCAACATACTGGTGACACCAGACCCCAGAACTCCAGAAAACCTCTCCCAGAGGTTTCATGTATATGTTAAATATCATAGGGGACAAAACACATCCTTGAGAGACACCAAAGGTCAAAGGCCAGGGTATCAAACAGGAGTCCCCCAGCACCACCCAATAGGTTCTCCCCTCCAGGAAGGAGCAGAGCCACAATGCCTCCAAGTCCCATCCCAGAGAGATGGCCCCAAAGGATACCATGGTCAATGGTATCGAACGCTGCTCAGATGTCCAGCAGAAACAACAAAGAGACACTTCCCCTGTCCAGTTTCCTGCATAGCTCATCCACCAAGGTGACCAAAGCAGCCTCTGTCCCATAACCAGGCCAGAAGCTAGATAGGGATAATAACAGTGGTTGGTATAAAGTAGAAGGAAAAAAGCAACAAAAACGATCAAGGATGGAAACTGCTCTCATGAAATAAAAATATCTTCAGTTGGAGAAGGCAGTAACAATGGGCACTGCTATGAAAAAAGATTCTGAGTATGTAAAAATAGTGATAACAAGAAAATATGCGCAAACAACTAACGGTGTTATAGAAGCTTAAAAGGCTTAAGAAAGACAATAAAGGTAGACCCATTTCACAGACACAAAATAGATACACAGCAAAGTCAGAAATACAGTACAGTTTGCTACACACACACAAAAGCTGTTTTTGTGCCATTATTGGCCAAAAACTATTCAGGCTATACTGGGATGAGAAATTTTGTTGCAATGTTTGAATGTAGGCTAAAAATATATTTGACCAAGCAAGTAAGTAATGAGATGGCTGTTTCTGTTATATTGTCTGTAATGCATATTGAATGGACTGGATGCCTACATAGAATCATAGAATAACTACGTTGGAAAAGGCCTATAAGACCATCAAATACAACCCCCTGGTCAATGCAGAAATACAAATCAAAGCAGATTTGACAGAAGATTGTCCAGTTTTCTCTTGAATGCCTCCAGCATTTAAGCACTCGCCCCCTGACAATGTACTGTATTTTTCCGTGTATAAGATGTCCCCATGTATAAAACACCCTCCACTTTTCTAATCCAAAATTAAGAAAAATAAGTGGGGCTTAGTATATGTAGGGGGAAAGGGATCAAAGCGCTGCAGGATCTCTTCGATCCCTGCTTTCTTCCCCACTTGCTTTTGTTCTCTCCTCAGCTTACTTCTGTGTATAAGACGACCCTCCATTTTTAGTCTACAGTTATTAGACAAAAGTATCATCTTATACATGGAAAAATATGGCAATTGGTTCCATTGCCATCCTGCTCTAACAGTTAAGATGTTTTTCCTGATATTCAGCCTACATCTGGCTTCCTGTAGCTGGAGCCCATTATTACGTGTCCTGCACTCTGGGATGACTGAGAATAGATCCTGCCCCATCTCTGTATGACTACCTTTCAAGTATATGAGAAGCATTATCACATCTCTCCTCAGTCTTCTTTTCTGAAGTCTAAACATGCCCAGTTCTTTCATTCTTTCCTCACACAGGGCTTGGTTTCCAGTCCCCTGACCATCCTTGTTGCCCTCTTCAGAGCTTGATTCAGTTAGCTGGCATCCTCCTTAAAGTGTTGTGTCCAGAACTAGACACATTCTCTAGATGAGAATGTGCTGAACAGAGGGAGACTCATGGGATTTGGATATACTTCTGTTAATGCATCTTAATGTTTGGTAATTTAGGTCGCATGAATTGGTTCTATGTGGTTTAAAGCAAATGCCTTCTTCAAGTGAGTTGGGAGTAAGTGTTAAATATCTGGCAGAATGCTAGAGTTAAAATTCAGAGATAGAAAATGTAACTTTTTTTTGTAGTGCAATTCTCAGAATCCCCCATGCGGTATGACCACTAGCTATGCTGGCTGGGAAATGTTGGGAGCTCTAGAGCTCTGGTTCTTAACCTTAGGTTACTCAGGAGTTTTGGACTGCAACTCCCAGAAGCCTTCACCACCAGCTGTCCTGACTGGGGGTTCTGGGAGTTGCAGTTCAAAAGCATCCGAGGAACAAAGGTTAAGAACCACTGCTCTAGACCACTGGTTCTTAACCTTTGTTACTCAGATGTTTTTTGACTGCACCTCCCAGAAGCCTTCACCACCAGCTGTCCTGACTGGGGGTTCTGGGAGTTGCAGTTCAAAAGCATCCGAGGAACAAAGGTTAAGAACCACTGCTCTAGACCACTGGTTCTTAACCTTTGTTACTCAGATGTTTTTTGACTGCACCTCCCAGAAGCCTTCACCACCAGCTGTCCTGACTGGGGGTTCTGGGAGTTGCAGTTCAAAAGCATCTGAGTAAGAAAAGTTAAGAACCACTGGTCTAGACCAAACAGTAACTTTCCCTGTATCTGAACTGCAGTAGGTTAAGCTGTAAAACATATCAATTCTAAAGGTATGTTGAAACAAATTGTTCTATAGAACAAAATTCAACACATTAAATAAAATGGAATACATTCTAAATGCTGCTCCAAATAGGACATTGTGAGCCACGATACTGATTTTTTTTAACAAAATAAATAAATTCGTAGAAGGGCAATTTACTAAGATGGTCAGTGCATGATCTTGGCTCCAAAAATGCACTTATACAGCATCTCTTAATGGAAAAAGCAATCGTTGTTTTCTGCAATAGTTTTCTTTTCTGACCTACTGTATTGGCTTCCTCATATAACCAGACCAAGCCACTGTCTAGAGCAGATAAACAGATTTTTGCCTTTTTAACCACCTGTATATTTGGAACTAATTCACAGAACTACTTTGGATTTATTTTCTAACTTCCGAACCAATAGTACATGCAAGCACAAGTCCTAAAAATTAAAGGGGTAGCCAAGCCAGGTGAGTTTGCTGCAGAAAAAAAAGAGCAGAAGAGTCTCATGCCATGAAGACTAGAAACATACCTTTGGCATAATCGTTTGTAGACTGTAACACCTTTCTTCAAATGCAGCAAGTGAAAATCAAGTTACTTTGGGTTAAGTAACCATGTCCTCCTTTTACAAAAGATCTTATCCCTGTGAGAAAAGAAGGTGCAAGGCTGGACCCAGCTCATTCCTTGATACAGAGTTAATTAGCACAATGGTATCAGCTGTGATGGGAGGGCAGAGTTACTTTTCTTTGTGAAAGTTGGAGGAGGAGACTCAATGCCTGATTGGCAGGTCTCCTGGAAGGGTCTGGAAACCTTTTCTTCTTTTTCTTTTCTCTCCTTCTTCTTCTTCTTCCTTCCCCCCCCCCTCTTGCTTTTTTCCTTTTCCATCTTGGATTAATCTGGATTTTTTTTTCTTAGTTTATTTTTATATTATGGGTAAACTGCCCAAGTATGCTAGAGAGAAACCAGAAATAATGTAAAATGTGGGCATTATATCTTACATACTTTTACTTATAATCATAATCTCCCTTTTCCTTTATTCACCCCCCAAAATTCTTCAAAAAATACATATATTCATTATTTGTTTTCTCCCATACAGCTTTTATAACTTCTTCCCATATATTGTTGAATGTTAGTCTTTATCTCTCCTTTTTCTAACTTATTTTCTGAAGTCAGTTTATTATTCACTGCTATATTCCATACTTCATGATGGAATATATTCCATACTTCATTATGGAATATATTCCATACTTCACTATATTCCATACTTCATTATTCCATACTTCCATACTTCATTCTTGTACTGAAAATCCCAACTCTGCTTCAAATTTTTCACTATAAGCAATCAAGCTGCAGTTATCAAGTTCATTACCATTTATTTATTTATTTATTTATTTATTTATTTATTTGCTTGCTTGCTTGCTTGCTTGCTTGCTTGCTTGCTTGCTTGCTTGCTTGCTTACACCCCACCCATCTAGTCAACTGACTACTCTGGGTGGCTAATGCTCCCATAGTGTTTCCAAGATAATGATTTCTGGTATTTTTTTTTAATATTCACGTCACATTTTTCCAAAATCAATAACAATGCTGTTTTTGGAACCACTTAAATGTTGACTAACCTTTTCAAATACTTTGACCCATATGTTCTGTATTAAATCACAATTCCTCCACAAATAAAAATACATGCCAACTTCTTTGTTACATCTCCAATATTTCTTCGAATATTTAGAATCTATAGTATTTAATGTTACCAGTGCTAAATATCACCTCCACAATGTTCTATAACCATTTCCTTTTAATTCTAATTGACATATTTTTAAAAACCCTTCTATTTCAGAATTTTTCCAGTCCTCTTTATCTATCTTCCCTATATCAATCTCCCATGCTATTTTTAAAACTTTCAATTGTTTCCTCTGATCTATTAAAATTCTATAAATTACACCTTTTCTTCCTTTCTCTTTTCCCCCATATATTTCCTTCTCCAAATTCTTTATAATGTCTTCAAACTTAGTCAGTTTCCTATCCTCTAATTTAAATTTCTCTCTATTAACCACCACTCCAATTGCATTAAATTTAACTGATTTAGTTTTTCTTCTGAGAAACTGGTTATTTGTTCTTTAGTTTTAACCTTTTCTTTCCATTCTTCCCATTTATATATCTGTGGGTTTTTTTTAAGACACTTGTCAATTCCTTAAACCTACCGTACATCCTGGGAAATTTTCCAGATCTATTATTGGAGTTAAAGAGATATTGCAGGACTTAATATCTGTATTCATTTGTTCCAAATCTCCATTACGTTCTTTATGAAGGAATTCTGAATCTTTTAAATTATGTTTTGAGCTTTTTATATCAGCAATTTTCTTGTATTCTCAAAGGCTTTCATGGCCGGGGTCTGATGGTTCCAGAGCACAGACAGAGTTCCTACTCCAGTCCTCTGAAGATGCCGGCCACGGAGACTGGCGAAACGTTAAGAAGAACAACCTTCAGAACACGGCCAAAGAGGCCGAAAAACCCTCAACAACCAATTTCCTTGTTTTTCCTCCATTTCTTATAATTCAATAAAATGAGTGAATTCTTGAATTAATTCTCTCACTTTAAGGGCAATGAAAAGCTTATTAAAATCACCAAAGGGACATCTGTCTCTTTTCCTTGATACTATTTTTGTCCATGGTAGCATGGGAAGAGAAGGAACATAATGGACAAGTGAAAAAAAAAAACACAAAACAATGCCAGTGTTACACCCTAAGGAAGATCATTGTTATGATCTGGAAGATAATCATTATCTAGCAAGTGATAAGTGAATGAAGTATTTGATGATTGTTGTGGGTTTTTCGGGCTCTTTGGCCATGTCCTGAAGGTTGTTCTTCCTAACGTCTCACCAGTCTCTGTGGCCAGCATCTTCGAGGCATCTTCAGTTGGCAATAAGTGACCTTGCCATTGAAGATATTATCTAAAACTATCAGAGATTCTTTCATTTAGTGCATCCAGAACTTAGTGGCCAGAACCTTGTGTGTGATTTAATAATCTTAGAACTCAAGAGCTGGAAGGGACCCTATGGATCGTCGTTGTCGTTTAGTCGTTTAGTCGTGTCCGACTCTTCGTGACCCCATGGACCAGAGCACGCCAGGCCCTCCTATCTTCCACTGCCTCCCGGAGTTGTGTCAAATTCATGTTGGTTGCTTCACAGACACTGTCCAGCCATCTCATCCTCAGTCGTCCCCTTCTCCTCTTGCCGTCACACTTTCCTAACATCAAGGATTTTTCCAAGGAGTCTTTTCTTCTCATGACCCTATGGATCACTGAGTCACAATTCTCGGGGGGGTGGGGGGAATAGTCTTGCCATCGTATGCATTATCATCAAAACAAACAATACCATCATACAGAAAAATGTGTAGTGTTGCTCATTCTTGTGCATAAGAACAAGACAAGTGAAAAGGAGATCAGACTTTGATGGATGCACCCCTCAAATTCTGTTTCAGGGTCAGATCACTTACTAAAGCAGATCTGTATTTTTCTTCTCATACCGAGTGATCCCTCTAGGCTTTCAAATCTTTTACAGCTACATTCCTGAGGCACCAGATATACAAACAAAAGCATCTTGTTTCCCAAACTGACCAAAACACAGCCAAAGCAATGCATGATGAGGCAGAAAGATATCATGGAATTAATTTCCTTTTTAAATTAAACCATTTTCCTTTAAAGGGTACACGGATTCAAGATGTGGAATGGGTGTCTCATCTAGTTACATGGTTAGTTTTTTCCTCATTGTACAGTTTGCTTTTTTGTTGTTGTTGTTCACTTGCCGCAGCACAATTGTCAAATCGATAGTGGCGGGCGCTCTTTCTCTCCCATTTATGTGAGCCAATTTGAGAAGGAAAAATTCATACTTTCCCTCCTGTTTGCAGATCAGGTGGGGAGCTCATGGTCCCATTTTACATCTCTCCCTCTTCCTCAGCCATGTGGAATCACTGCTGAACAATCTTAAAGTAGAAGCAAAGTGTAAGTTTACACTGGACCTCTTACATATACTTCATAAGAAATATATTGTTATCAAAGCTATCATTTCCCCCCAAAATTAATCTCCTTTCATTACTAACATTTTGATTCAGGATCTTTCCACCCCACCCAACATCCAAGGCATTTTGGAGTCCCTGTTTACATTCTGTGGTATTAATATTAGGTGTCCGTAAAAAGGAGGATATTAGCTTCTCCCTTCTATCTGTCAAAATTAATAACTTCTGTATCACTGATAACTCCAGGTCAATATTAGATTCACAGATGTGGGTGGAAATAAAATGTATGGAAATATAATCTCTGATTTGTCAGCATCCCCAAAAGTGTTTACATTATTGAATGTTGGGCTGCAACTATTCAAAAGGTCAAAAGAGTCTGAGGGAAAGAAAAAGGAAAACAGATTTGCCACAAGGACTTGTTTATCCCACAAACCAATGCTAATATAAAAATTGGATGCAAGTGCATTTGAAGAAAAAGAGCTCCAATACAGCAAGTCAGTTTTCCAGATTTGCTATAGTTTCATGAGTAAGCTCCCTAATACAGCTGTGGACAGCGGCATTTTGATAGCGCTGGTTAGATACTGGGTAATCAACTATGAGACAGACCTTAGTTGCAGCTGAGACTTTAATCCTTCTCTGATCATCTGAATTCTCAGAAAATCACTGTTGGGGGGGGGGGTCACAAAAATACAGAAACTGCTGTGCAGTTTCTAGAATAAGAAAAACCACACAAGTAACACATGCCTTTTCTCGGATTAAATCAACATTATGGCATTCATGTACATCGCAGTCACCCTGCATAAACTGCTTTTGCTTTTTGTGACTAGTGGAACTGTTACCTATGACAGTGGTTCTTAACCTTTGTTACTCGGATGCTTTTGAACTGCAACTCCCAGAAACCCCAGTCAGCACAGCTGGTGGTGAAGGCTTCTGGGAGTTGCAGTCGAAAACTCCTGAGTAACTCAAGGTTAAGAACCAGTGACCTATGAGAACGGGTTAGCCAGAATCCATTAATAGAGGAGAAGGCAGACTCTGGATCCAAAACCCAATATAGTTCACAGATGTGCTTAATCCAGGCAATGGTGGGGACTCAAAAATGCTTCCATTTCTTGATTCCCCATGCCTGATGCAGGGAGATTTCCACATATGCAGTTGGGCTTGAGTGATCAGAGACAGTAGCAGGTCCTTCCTTTGCACTGCTGGTTTCCTAGTTGGAAAGGCCATGTGATTGACACATCAAAACTATTGACTGGAGATAACTGCAGAGACGTTAAAAAAGCTATGCTTTGCTCACTCTGGTGGTCTCCTCCATGCCAGGTGAGGCACACCACATCCCATGAGGCTGGCGCCTTCATTGAAGAATTAGTGTTCTCACACAAAGGCTTTCCCCGGCAAGGAAAAGCCGACCCACATCAAAACCAGCTCCCCTGCTAAGATGCAGCATGCAAGAACTCTCCCACCGCCTGTGGTTTCACTGGGACAGCTCCACTGTAGCCTGGCTCCTAATGGCATCTGGTTTGTGGAGAGATCAGTGGGGTCTATGTACCTCTGAAAATAAGGTTCTCCAACTCCACATTAATAGGTTGCAGCTCGGCTGAAGCTAAGTCTCACCAAGAAGAAGAAGAAGAAG